AGAACAACCACCACCGCCGAAAGCTTCGGCTGGGCTGTAATGGCCGTGGAAGGGTTAATGGGCTTACCGAAAATTGATGGTCGCTGTACAGAGTCGCATGAAATACGTGCACCGCGAACTTTTTCCCTCGCCAGCCACGGCTTACTACCCTATACACACCCTTACTACCCTCAACCTCGCTACCCGTTCCCTTTTTCTCCTCGACCGACGATCGCCTCGACCGACCGTGATTTTTCCTCGAAATGTTTGCAACGCGCGTGCAACGCGCTACTTTCCTTCCTGTCTTCCTTCTTTCCTCCGCTCCTCTTTCACGTCGACTCGTACACACGACATCGAGCACACGCGAGCGACGAAAAGATTTTCTCACTGGTTCGAGGGAATTTTCATCGGTTCTAACGACAAAACATCTTCTTTCGTTTTCAACAACACGTGGTATCGCCGCTCGAAAGTAGTACGGGCAGGTCATTGATCAGACAGAATGTGTCGGATGGACGAGATTAAAGAAACGATGTGCGTATTTATTTCTGTTCGCAGGTGCGAGACGAAATGGCGGCGGACGGCGTCGAACCACTGGAGGAAGAAATTCCGCACGAGGATATAATCGGTCGTGATTACTGCCGTTACAACGTGAAGCGACTGATGGCACCTTAGCCACCACGAGGACAGTCGATGGTCGAAGGGGGAAGAATCCCGATCGTCGCGGCAACAAAGAAAAGGATTCTCTTCCAAAGCATAGGCCGGTGAATGATGCTCGCGCCGACTCGGGACGACTCGAGCTCCTCGGAAGGATCTTCTCTCCTTCCTGGAAGATCTCCTTTTCCCCGCGTCATCCGTGATTCTTGGCCGCGAACGTAAGTAGATGGGCAAACTCGATTTCCTTGGGAAATTCCCGAGCCGCGAGGCGCGAGTGTTCGTGGACGAGATAGAAAAAATAGACAGAGAGGAGCTCGATCGGTACCTCGTCGCACGATGGAAAGGAAAAAAGCGTTCCTTCTTCCTTCCACGACGTGTCCTTAATAAACGGACGAGCGTATCTACGACTTTCAAAGACCAAGACACGCGTTCGCGCGTGTCGGACGTTTAAGGATTTAAGGTCAGCCGTAATCGATGTGTTTGATTTGCACTCAGCGATTTTTTTCGTCGATGCTGGAACCAAGAACCGCGCGTTCTAGTCAATATAATAATTACATTGTGTATGAATATGATCTCGCGACTAACGACTGACACCGTGATCGTCACGTGTAACAGCGATACTTGTGTGCGACTCACTCTGCTTCGATGTGTCCTATTGTGCGTGTGTGCGTGAATGCGTGAATGCCGTGCGTGCACGTGTGAAAGAGAACTGACGATGTTTGTACATACGGTACCTGAAGTCGATGAACATATTGAACATCCTCCTACAGAGCAAACCGACCAGACAGAATTTCCGCCGGGAATTATAATTGAATCGTGAGAATCGACGAGAACGAATTAGATAAAATTTGAAAGAGGAACAAAGAAAAAGAGCAGAGAGACGTTCCATCGAACGATTGGAACTCGTCTCAATTTCGAGGATTCCAACGGCCGGTTTGATCAAACTAGACACAGAAGGAGGAAACTAGATACGAAGTTAGGCTCGGACGAGCTTGAAAGAAAGAAAGAAAGAAAAAAAAAAAGGATAAAACGTTGACAAAAAGAAAAAAAAAAAAAGAGAGAGAAAAGTCAACGAGCGCGCTTCGTGGCGCACGCCACGAGAGAGAACTTTCCTACGATTTTGCACGATCGAAGTTGACGTTGACACGCGCGTCGATGCGTTATCACCGACGACTTTTTTCGAAATGCGTCTCATTCATTGTAACCGACACTTTAAGGCTCGTATATTCTAACTAACGCACCGAGTAAATATCCTTTCTTAACGATGTTTTTACACTAAACTTTTAATATAGCCAGATTTAAAAAAAAAAAAAAAAAAGAAAAGAAAAACGAAAAGAAAAAGAAACGAACGAACGGAGCACGGAGCAAAAAGAAAGAAAAAAAAAAAAAGGAAAAAAGAAAACCGAAAAACAAGTCGAAGACGTACTCTCAACTTCCCTCGTGCCGTCAATCCATCTGATCGTTAATTTTACGCGAACTTGCGCGTCGTTTCAAACGTTATGCGGTTTTTTGTTCTGATTTCAAAAAAGAAACAAAAAAAAAGAAATAAAAGATAAGGAGTTAAAGAACGAAAAGAGAGGAAAGAATGAATCACAAGACTTGTTTCGTATCGACCGATCGAACGATCATTCGTGTGCGAGTAGTCGAGATCAACGAAGCGCCAGCCTCGTGAATATATCCTAACATTTCAAACGTTACTGATACCAGAAAATAAATCGACGATAAATCGAAAATTACGGTTGTTTTTCAACTGATGAGATTTACCCGTTTTTATTGTCTCCATCCTTCTTTTCCCCCTTCCATGCAAATAAATAAAATTTATATTCGATCGCGGCGGCCGATTCCAACCGATTCTTATCTTTCTCTAGAAAAATTAGTTATACATTCTGGAATAGTTACAGGTATCGGGCAGTGTGCTGGAAATATTGAATCGAGTATCGAAGATTCGAAATATTGGAAATATTTTTTGTGAATATCGAGTGGAATATCGAAGACCGGCTGCGTCGAAAATATTAAACAGAAGACACGGGAATGGAGAAAAATTCACGGGAATTTTCATCAATGGTATAGAAAAAAGGAGTTATATGTTGCAAAATATATTTTCTAACCGACAATAAAATTGTATCGTACACGAGCTAATCTGTTTCCACTTTAGCCAAATATGCGATAGATACCGGACAGCAATAGACATGCGAATCTGCAGCCTTTTCTTCGTGCCAGGCACTTACACGAGACCCTCTCTGCATGACACGCTGGCAATTGCAAGACTCTTGACGGTAATGATCGAGATCGGCGAAACTGAAGGTCAACTGCGGTGGTGAACAGACCACCAAGTTAGAAGTAGAATAGACTGTTGCTGGAAATCGAAGTGCATCGAATCGCCAATTTACAAGTAACAAAGGGCGGCGCTCGTTGGCGATTCACGGCAGCGCGTAGGAGGCAATCAAGTGCAAAGCATACGTTGAAATGGTAAATGCGGCTCGGTTTATCGGCATTTCAGGATCGTACGTGCTGTAAATTCCGGAGCCAGGGCTTGATTAGATTGTCGTCCCGTAGATTTCATGATAACTGATTACCTATCAATCGAATAAATCAATCGGGGCAAAAGCCGATCGTTTGTTTGATTGCTTGCTCCGCGTGCAGACGTTGATGATCTCGTAAAGAGAAAGTCGTCAATGCCTTCGTACGATCTACTCGACGCGTTTTCTACTTTACGTCGCTCCGGGACAAACTGGCCTTCATTCGTCGACGTTTTACGAAGATAACGCGGGCAGACAAAAAAAAATTTCAATCCGATCGCGCGCTCCACCGAGATAACAAGTTTTCATCCTCCGATCGAAACTGTCGGACGAAGGAAAGTTCGTAGGGAGAAAGAGGTTGGCGAGGAGCGAGGAACATCGTCGTGTCCTTTCAGTGATAATTAATTTTTCGCCATCGGTAGGTCTCTCCGCGACGAGCTCGTTAAA